CGCCACAGGTAAGTACCGGCCCTACCGGGCCTGCCCAACATCCATGGCCCCGACGGGGTCACACACACACTCAAGCACTCAGTCAGGCACGCATTCATCACCCAGGCACGCCAACCACATACAGGCACGCACTCAGACCCAACACAACCCACTCAACAGGCAGGGGACTTAGTACGGCATGCATTCCACGAGCAAACTCAGAAATCAGCTGTCTGTTACAGTCCGTGTGATGACGGGTCATTACATCGTGGTTAAAGAGGTTTGTAGTAGTCTACTTAGATGATATTCTAGTGTTCAGTAGGACCCTCCAGGAGCATGAGGGTCATCCGAGGCAGGCCTTGGAGAAGCTGAGAGAGACCAACTTCAAGATCAATGCAAAGAAGTGCGAATGGGCAAAGACCCAAGTTATGTATCTAGGCCATGTCTTAGACGAAAACGGCATTAAACCAGAAGATAGCAAGATCGCAGCGATTAGGGATTGGCCTACGCCCCGCACGTTGACAAAGTTGCGGTCGTTCTTAGGCCTAGCTAACTATTACAGGAAGTTTGTGAGAAACTTCTCCACCATCGCTACACCCCTTCGCAGGTTGCTGAAGAAAGAAACAATATGGAAGTGGGACAAGGACTGCACGTCTGCCATGAAGAAACTGAAGCAGGCATTGATAGAGTATCCAGTCCTTAAGGTAGCCGATCCGTCCTTACCTTTCGTCGTCACTACTGACGCGAGCCAGTATGGTATAGGTGTTGTATTACAGCAAGACGATGGCAGTGGATATAGACCCGTAGAGTTCATGTCTGTTAGGATACCTTCGGAAAAGTTCGCAACATCCACCTACGAAAGGGAACTCTACGCTCTCAGGCAAGCATTAGAACACTGGAAGCACTACTTGCTTGGAAGGCACTTCAAAGTCTACTCAGACCACGAGACGTTAAGGTGGCTGAAAACTCAGGCCAAGATGACACCTAAGCTTACGAGGTGGGCCGCAGAGTTAGACCAATATGATTTTGAGCTCAAGCCATTAAAAGGGAAGTACAATGTAGTTGTGGACGCTCTG